AAGGTACATGCCCTTGACTGGAATCGAACCTGGGACCCTTGAATCCGCAGGCCGACGCTCTATCCACTGAGCCAAACCGGTTAGGGCTAAAAGCATTATTTAAATAATCTGAGTTTAAGTCTGAGGAGAATTTTCCAACTAGCAGGTTGGTGAAGAGAGATATGGAAGATATTGGCAACTTATGAGGGTCCTGCACAGAGGTTAAAATTATTCTGGTCAAATAGTAATAATTCTTAATATTAATGAGAATTGTTATAGTATTGTTATAGTAACTGTTTATTATGTGACAAATACATGATTATCTCATCACAACCACCCTATGCAAAACCTGCGAATATAGAGGGACAGTTGTATTTTACAGATGAGGGAATCGATGGCTCAGAGGTTAAATAACTTATTCACAATGAGTGGTGAAGCCAGAATTTTAATCCAGGTGCTGGGAAAATTGGACAGGTACATGTAAAAAAAAATGAAAGTAGACCACCAACTTACACCATACACAAGAATAAATTCACAATGGATAAAAGACTTTAGTGTAAGTCGAAAAACCATAAAAATCTAAAAGAAGACATAGGCAGTAAAATCTCAGGCATCTCTTGTAGCAATATTTTTGCCGATATATCTTCTAGGGCAAGTGAAACAAAAGAAAAAATAAACAAATAGGACTACATCAAACTAAAAAACTTCTGCACACTAAAAGAAATAATCAACAAAATGAAAAGGGAACCCACTATATGGGAGAACATATTCACCAATGATACAACTGATATGGGGTTAATTTCCAAAATATATAAAGAACTTATACAACTGATACCAGGACAACAAACAATCCAATTTAAAATTGGACCAAGGGTGCCTGGCCGGCGTGGCTCAGTGGTTGAGCGTCAATATGAACCAGTAGGTCATGGTTCGATTCCGGGTCAGGGCACATGTCCAAGTTGCCGGCTCCATCACCAGTGTGGAGGGGGAGGGGAGGGGATGTGCAAGAGGCAGCCAATCAATGATTCTCTCTTATCATTGATGTTTCTATCTCTCCCTCCTTTTCCCTTCCTCTCTGAAATCAATGAAAATGTATTTTAAAAAATATATAAATTAAAAAATAAAAATATAAGTGGGCAAAGGACCTGAATAGATTCTTCTCCAAAGAGGACATACAGATGGCCAATAGAAATATGAAAAATACTCAAGGTCACTAATCATCAGAGAGATGCAAATTAAAATCACAATGAAATATCACCTCGAACCTGCTAGAATGGCTACCATCAATGAATCAGCAAACAACAAGTGCTGGAGAGGATGTGGAGAAAGGGGACTGTTGGTGGGAATGCAGACTGGTGCAGCCACTGTGGAAAACAGTATGGAGTTTCCTCAAAAAATTAAAAATGGAACTGCCTTTTGACCCAGCAATCCCACTTCTGGGAATATTTCTTAAGAATCCCAACACACCAATCAGAAAGAATATATGCACTCCTATACAGTATTCATAGCAGCAGTATTTACAATAGCCAAGATCTGGAAACAGCTCAAGTGTCCATTGGTAGGTAGATGTGTGGATAAAAACATTGTAGTACATTTACACAATGGAATACTGTGTGACTGCAAAAAGGAAGGAACTCTTACTTTTGCAACAGCATGGATGGAGATGGAGATTATTATGCTTAGTGAAATAAGCCAGTCAGAGAAAGACAAATATCATATGATCTCACTTATATATGGAATCTGACGAACAAAATAGAACCAGAGAACTAGATACACGGACTCACAGATGTCAGAGGGGAAGTGACTGGGGCAGACATGGTGAAAGAAGGTGAAGAGAACAGCCAAAGAGCTTTTTTGCATAGCCTATGGACACAGACAACAATGTGGTGAGAGCCAGAGGGAGGGGAGGGCAAAATCTGGGTGGAAGGAGACAAAAAAAATTTAATTTAATTTTTAAATATATTTTTATGGATTTCAGAGAGGAAGGGAGAAGGAGAGATAGAAACATCAATGAGCCCCAGCTGGTTTTGCTCAGTGGATAGAGCGTCGGCCTGTGGACTGAAGGTTCTCGGGTTCGATTCCAGTCAAGGGCACATGCCCAGGTTGCAGGCTTGATCCCCAGTAGGGGGCATGGAGGAGGCAGCCGATCAATGATTCTCTCTCATCATTGATATTTCTCTCTCTCTCTCACTCTCCTTTCCTCTCTGAAATCAATAAAAAATACATAAATAAAAAAGAAACATCGCCAAAACCGGTTTGGCTCGGTGGATAGAGCGTCGGCCTGCGGACTGAAGGGTCCCAGGTTCGATTCCGGTCAAGGGCATGTGCCTTGGTTGCGGGCACATCCCCAGTGGGGGGTGTGCAGGAGGCAGCTGGTCGATGTTTCTCACTCATCGATGTTTCTAGCTCTCTATCCCTCTCCCTTCCTCTCTGTAAAAAATCAATAAAAAATATATTTAAGAAAAAAAAGAAACATCAATGAGATAGAATCATTTGATTGGCTGTCTCCTGCACGCCCCCTACTGAAATTGAGCCTGCAACCTGGGCATGTGCCCTTGACCAGAATCAAACCTGGGACCCTTCAGTCCATAGGCTGACACTCTATCCACTGAGCCAAAGTAGTTAGAGCTAAAAAAATTTTTTTAATAGCATCATGCCCATTATCAATAATTTTTTCAAACTCGATAATCTTCCAAGAAAGAAATAATGTAGATATAAATTGCCCTAGAGCTTAAAAAAATAGAAAATGTTCTAATTCATCTCAAATATTTAGCACAAACCTGGTAAAAATATATCAAAATGGCTTTCTCTGCAGATAGTGCTCTCGCAAACATGGTGAACGTTCCTAAAACCCACCAACTTTCTGTAAGAAGTGTGGCAAGCATCAACCCCAGAAAGTAACACAGTACAAGATGGGCAAGGATTCTCTGAATGCATAGGGAAAGCGGCATTATGACAGGAAGCAGAGTGGCTATGATGGGCAGACTAAGCTGATTTTCTGAATAAAAGGCTAAAACTACAAAGAAGATTGTGCTGAGGCTTGAATGCATTGAGCCCAACTGCAGATCTAAGAGAATGCTGGCTATTAACACGTTAAGCGCCAAGCCTGTTTTGTCTTCCTTTCCGTTTAGCCCAAGATATCCGATTTCACCGATATGCTGGCGGCACCAGTGACTGACTGGTCTGGTCCGGACAGAAAGTATAGTGTCAGTCACCAGTGACTGACATGATGCTTACCGTGTTAAGAGATGCAAGCATTTTGAACTAGGAGGTGATAAGAAGAGGAAGGGTCAAGTGATCCAGTTCTAAGCTTCATATTTTGTTTTATTATATGACAACTAGAGGCCCAGTGCATGGATTTGTGCACCGGTGGGGTCCCTGGCTTCAGGGCTTGGGCTGGGTAGGGACCCTGGGAGGGCTCCAGGGAGTGTCCAGCCTGTCTCGCCCAGTCCCGAATGGCCGGACCCCAGCAGCAAGCTAACCTACCAGTGGGAGCGTCTGCCCCCTGGTGGTCAGTGCATGTCATAGCGACTGGTCGAATGGCGGAACCAACGGATCGGACACTTAACATATTAGGCTTTTATTATATAGGATAAAATCTTAATATGTTCACTTAAAAATATATCAAAATGGACTGTGATTATGTAAAATACTATCATTGGGGAGGTCAGATAAAGGGTACATGGGAATTCTACTATTTTTACAGCTTCTTGTGAGTTTAAAAATATTTCAAAATAAAAAGTATTTAATAAATCTATTAAAGTTTTTAGTTCAAAATGGCAAACTCAGTTGAGACCAATTTTTGTAAAATATTCTTAAGTATGCTTAAGAAGAATGAGTATTTTTAAACTTTTGGGTGCATGGTTCTATATATATTCACTAAATCACGCTTGTTAATTGTGTTTTACAAAAACAAAACAAAACAAAGGCCATTGCAGCAATCCAGTCAGGAGATGACGGTAGCTTGGGAGCAAGGAAGATGAAGAGAAGTGCAGGGTTCCACAGTGCAGTGGTGTTGCACAAGGGTTGGGAAGAAGCGACCGAGAGAGCAGAGCCATCAAGGGTGACCTCCTTGGGTCTCTGGTTTATGCAGTTCGATAGCTGGGAGTGGGTGTGTCCACATAAAGTATTTGAGGATCTTTCCTGAGCCACTTCCCTGATTTCGCCTGGAAGAGGGTCCTTCACTTAGCCTAGGTGGCTCCTAGTTTCTGCAATTTGACAGGTGGCGGAGCTATGCAATGGAGATGGGGCATCCTAGGAGAGATTAGGACATCTATTTCCGGCAACAACGTTTCTTTACTTCCCACGGCAACTAAGAGGGAGGTGGCAATATTGAGGCTGGTGCTGAGACTCAGCGCTTCCCCTCGTCCCTAAGCGCTCTGCATATACCACAGGGTACCGCATTCACATTATAAGGTGTTGCACCCCCTGGACGAGAAGCTCAGGGGGCAGGTGCTGAATTTCTTCTTCGTATCTTAAGGGCTGTGCCCAGAAACCGGTTTCTCCCTCTCCGGACCAGTCTCTCCCAGCCCCACACCTAGGAATTTCCGCCCCGCCCGCCCCTCCGCCCACCCCTCCGGCCCGCCTCGCCCTGAGAGTGCCCGGCCCCGCCCCTATTGCAACCGCAGCCGGCTAGCCTGGCAGGGACTAGAGTAATTGACGGGCGTTTTCTCCAATCACAACGCCGAACGACCACATAATTACCAATTAGGCGGTAGCAGAGGCGGGTGCCGGAGCGGAAGCGGTGGGGGCGTGACCAGGAAGTGAGAGAGGAAGTGAGAGCGGAGCCTGAGAAGGACCAGCTGAGCCCAGGTGGGGTTGTAAAGGTGACGGCGCCTCCGGGTTCCCCAGTTTTCTCCCTTTCCCGCTCCTGGGTCAGGGGTCCGTTCGCAGCTGGGAGCCAGGGTCTCCATGTGCTCTCTTTAATGGGCAAGGGTGTGGGTCTACATATGTAAACAGTGGAGGGTCTTTTCTGAGCCACCTTCCTGGTTTTTTCTCTTACACCTTCCAGGTTTGGCTTGGAGGAGGGTCCTTCTCTTAGCCTGGGTGGGGGTGCTGTCCCCTGTCCCCGCGGGGGGATGGTGGTGAAGTTGTTTAAAATCCTTCTTGAATCTGTGGGTGGTTAAAGTCACGGACACAGAAAGGGAGATGAGTGATGGGGATTGCGAAGTTCGCGGAGGTGGAGACCTCCCGCTGTGGACCGAGGTAGTGGACGGCGGAGCTGCCCTGGGAGCTGGGTTCCCGTGGTTAGGGGACTAGGAATAAAATGGGTATTGAGGGCGAAGGAACAGTGGAAGAAACACGTGTTAGGTGGGGGTCATGGTGGTTGTCGGAGCCCACTGTAGAGCTGGAGGCTTTGGGGTGGGGCGCGGTCCCTAAATCCCCTCCCCACCTCCGGGCGGTCAGCTTTTTGCCTTCTTTCTCCTCAGGCTGTAGCGAACACCTGACCATGTGGAATCCCAGTGCCGGTAGGTGTTTGGGGTGCTCTCTTCCCCACCCCAACCCCTTTCCAAATGGGCCCCACAACAGGACGTCTCTGTTTTCCTTCCACCTCTCCCCTCATCTGCAAAGGCCACGTCCCTAGACTATGGCTGACCCATGCTTTTGTCTTTCCTTCGAGTTCACCATCTCCCTCTCTTCCCAGCGGGAGAGGGACATGACCTTTTATCTCTTCTACGTGGATTTGTTTCCCTTACCTTCCATTCTCCTTCCTCACTTTTCCATTTCCCTTTAAGTATTGAGTGAGAAACTGAATCCCTGCCTTTTTGTTATTTGTTGTCAGAGGCCCTGGGTAATCCTAATCTTTTATTTTTAATTTTTTTGCTTTATTGATTCAGGTATTACATATGTGTCCTTTTCCCCCCATTGCCCCCCATCCCCCCACTCATGCCCTCACCCCCCCCTGTTGTCTGTGTCCATTGGTTAGGCTTATATGCATGTATACAAGTCCTTTGGTTGATCGGGTAATCCTAATCTTAATTTCTTCTTTGCTTCTTCCACCAGGGCAGCCAGGGCCAAATCCATATCCCCCTAATGTCGGGTACCCTGGAGGTTCCAATCCTGCCCATCCACCGCCTGTCAATCCTGCCTTTCCTCCGGGCCCGTTTCCTACTCCCCTTGGCCCCTTTCCCACTCCCCCAGGAGCTCCCCAGGGGAATCCAGCTTTCCCCCCAGTCGGGCCCCCTTATCCTGTGCCACCACCAGCATATCCAGGATACCAACCATCAGGCCCCTATCCCCCTCCATATCCACCACCTGCCCCTGGCATGCCTCCTATTAATCCCTTGGCTCCTGGCATGGTAGCACCAGGAATGGTGACGGACAAGAAGATGCGGAAGAAAATGAAGAAAGCTCAAAAAAAGTCGCAGGCGCACCATAAGCATGGCAAGGTCAGTGCCCTCTGGAGCTTGGCTAGGAAGGGGTGCCCCCTCAGAGAGACTAGGCAAGTAGGGGGTGACTGAGGGGGATTCACAGTCTGAGGACATGGGGCAGTGATTGTGTTGCTCTGGTGATGGTTCTTCCTTTTTATAAAGGACTAGAGGCCCAGTGCACGACTTCGTGCATGGGTGGGGTCTGGCCGGCCTACCCCATGGGGTGGAGGGGCGGTAGGGGGTGGGGTAGGGCCTGCCAGGGGAGGGGCCGAGAGTGGTTGGCCCACCGGCCCTGCCCCCTGGTCGAACTCCCAGTCAAGGGGATATTTGCATATTAGCCTTTTATTATATAGGATTCCCACTGGGAAGAATCTGATAATTTTGAAAAGAAATATTAAGCTAATTGGGCTTTCTACAGGTGAGGGGCTAGGCCAGTGATGACGAACCTATGACACGCGTGTCAGAGGTGACACGTGAACTCATTTTTTTGGTTAATTTTTCTTTGTTAAGTGGCATTTAAATATATAAAATAAATATCAAAAATATAAATCTTTGTTTCCTATGGTTGCAAATATCAAAAAATTTCTATATGTGACCAGAGTTAAGTTAGGGTTTTTCAAAATGCTGACAGGCCGAGCTCAAAAGGTTCGCCATCACTGGGCTAGGCTGAGCCTTAGAATGGATCTCAGAATCAAAAGCCTTTCTTGTCTGCTTTTCTCTCTCCCAGAATTTTTGAACCCCTCCCTCACTCCCAGATGCGATTTTAATTGTATATACCCACTGAGGTGGTCAAATGTCCGTTAACAGGGTCAGCTTTTTTTTTTTTTAATCCTCACCGGAGGATATGCTTGCTGATTTGAGAAGGGTGGTGGTGAGAGAGAGTATTGCCTTCCATACGTGCCCTGACCGACTGGGGAATCAAACTCACAACCTTTTCCGTATACGGGACAACACTCCAACCAATTGAGCACACCCACCAGGGCAGTAGGGTCAGTCTTTTGACAAAACAGTCTTATATTATAATTAATAAATAATAATCTGGCCCTAGTTCCTGGAGTTCCTTTCTCTCCTTCAGGGTGTTGTGTTAATTACATAGGCCTTTTTGACCTGCCCACCCAGTGGGGAAATTGAGGACTAGTGATTCTCAGCCTCAAAACCTAAGTTTTATGCTCAGCCCCAAGGCTAAGTAAGTATCCTCATTCTACAGCAGTGGTTCTCAACCTTGGCTGCACATTAGAATCACCTGGGAATCTTTTTAAAATCCTGATTTCTGGGCCTCATCCTCCGGAAATTCTGTTTCTTTGTTACTAATGTTGTGGCCCCACCCCATAACAAAGAAACAGAAGGGTAAAGGGTAAAAGTAGTTCTCTGGACAACTCTGCAAGGATTGAATCAACCTGGATCTTGAGGAGGCCTTAATTAACATTTTACTGCTTAGTATTTATTTCCTTATGGCTTTGGGCACTAATTCCTGGTTCTGGATCTTTTGTAGAAGTCTGAGGAGAAGGAACGGTGAGATTGAATGGGGGATAAATTACCCTGGAGAGACTCCAAAATTGTTGTTGTTGTTTTTTTTAAAAAATAATCTTTTAGCCCTAGCCTGTTTGGCTCAGTGGATTGAGTGTTGGCCCTCGGACTGAAGGATTGTGGGTTTGATTCCAGTATAGGGCACATATCTCAGGTGCAGGCTTGATTCCCAGCCCTGGTTGGGGGAACCAATCGATGTGTCTCTCTCACATAGATGTTTCTCTTTCTCCCTGTCTCTCCTGCTCCCTTCACCAAAGATACCCTTGGGTGAGGACTAACAACAACAACAACAAAATCTTTTAGCCTGGCCAGTATTGCTTAGTGGTTGGGCATCAATCTATGAACCAGGAGGTCATGGTTTGATTCCCTGTCAGGGGGCCTATGCCCATGCCTGGGTTGTGGGCTCAATCCCCACTTTGGCCATGCAATCAATGATTCTCTTATTATTGATGCTTCTCTCTCTCTCTCTGAAATCAATATGTGTGTGTGTATACTTTTTTGTTAATTCTCACCTGAGGATATTTTTCCATTGATTTTTAGAGAGAGTGGAAGGGAGGGGGAGAGACAGAGAGAAACATCGATGTAAGAGAGAGATATCAATTGGTTGCCTCCCACACATGCCCCAACCAGGGCCAGGGATTGAGCCTGCAACTTTGGCATATTGGGATGATGCTCTAACCAACTGAGTTACCCGGCCAGGGTTCAAAATGTTTTCAATGACAGTTGTTGATGGGAGTATGCATGTAAAGTACCTCGACTAGGAGTCTCCCAACTTTCTATCCCACTTTCTCCCAATTAGGAAAAAGTAGAGATATAAATGCACACACAGCTGTTGTTTCTATTCACTTTTCTTAGGTTCATAGCCTCTAGAACAGTGGTTCTCAACCTGTGGGTCGCCAACCTGCGGGTCGCGACCCCTTTGGGGGTCGAACAACCCTTTCACAGGGGTCGCCTAAGACCATCGGAAAACACATATATAATGACATATTGTTTTTGTGATTAATCACTGCTTTAATTATGTTCAATTTGTAACAATGAAAATACATCTTGCATATCAGATATTTACATTATGATTCATAACAGTAGCAAAATTACAGTTATGAAGTAGCAACAAAAATAATTTTATGGTTGGGGTCACCACAACATGAGGAATTGTATTAAAGGGTCGCGGCATTAGGAAGGTTGAGAACCACTGCTCTAGGAACTTTCCATGCAGCTAATCAATGAGCATTTATAAGGAAGCAGCTATTCCCTAGCTTGTGCCTATAATTTATTCCTTGCATTGGCTTTGGTAAAGAAGGTTGGAAAACTTGCTCTATATGAAGTATGTTAAATTCTGTACAATGAATTAGGATGGTTTAATCCATTCCTATATCCTCACTGCTTAAGGAAATCCTTGCTTTTGCGATTTAAGGGACAATCTGGTTTAAAACTCCTGACCTTCTTATGTACCTGAGTGGCAGGGTAGAGAATCAAAGAATGTCCCATGGAGTGATCAAATGTCATTTGGATTGGATGCTATCTCCTTTTCCCCTTTCCCCTTGCAGCACTCCTCCTCCTCCTCTTCCAGCAGTGACTCTGACTGAATACAGGGTCTGGACCCTACCTTCAAGTCTCTCCAGTTCTGCTCTCCCATCAAGCTTCAATGCCATCTTGCACTGGGGAAAATTAGCCATTGTGCCCCCCTACCCTCTACCCCAATCTGAGACTCACTCTGCTGTTCAGCCCTAACTGCTTAGGGGAAATGGGAAAAGAATTGCCATGGGCTAGCAAAGGCCGTCTTCACAGTGCTTGGATAGAGCTTTTAGCTGATGAGGTTTAAGGAGAACTATTTTTTGAAGACGGTGAAACCTTTGAGCTAAATGCTGAAAATAAGTCTAAAGAGCTAGAAAATGTGATTTTTAACTTTCTTTTGTAATATTTGTAGTTGGGGAGGTGTTGTGGAAACTTAATTGTGGGAGAAAAACGAACTACTTTTTTTTTTTTTAATTGTGGCATGCTTGGCCAATTTAATGGCAAATATATTTCCCTGCAGACCTTTAATTGATTGCACTAACTGCAAGGCTGCTGGGAAGTAGAGTCCATTTGTTGATGAGTTCTGACTGCCATTTTGGAATTTAATCTCTATTCTTTAGTTCAGTATGCTATTTTCAGGTCCTCCCCACATTCTCCAACTCTCAATCCAAATAAAGCTGTTTGTCCTGGTCTCTGCACACCTGTGCCATTACCTTGGTTGGGCCTAGTACATTCCACTACTTTTGCTGCCCTTCCACAGTCGCTTTAAAGTGTATCAGTTTGCCCTGGCTGGTTTGGCTCAGTGGATAGAGTGTCAGCCTATGGACTGAAGGGTCCTCGGTTCGATTCCAGTTAAGGGCACATGCCAGGTTTCGGGCTCGATCCCCAGTGGGGGGTGTGCAGGAAGCTTCCAATCAGTGATTCTCTCTCATTGATGTTTCTATCTCTCCCTCTCCCTTCCTTTCTGAAATCAATAAAAATATATTTTAAAAAAATAAAGTGTATCAGTTTTATAGTAAGGAACCAGAGCATTAGTGAACAAGAGACCATACTGTCTCTATGTTTCTTAAGTGGGAGGAACCTTCAAAATTGGTTCAGGCTTGGTGGAATGAATATTTATGTCTTCTTTTTAATGAATGGGTATAGGTCTTTGGCATAAGTTTTTGTATCTGCTACAGAGGTTCTCAGCCCTGGTTGCCCTTTACCTATCAGAAAGTAATTTAGGACTTTGTCCCAAATCTATTGAATACGACTCTTTAAGGCTGGGATTCTATAAGTCAGTATTTTAAAGAAACTGTTTGATTCTGATGCACAGCTAGAATTGAGGGCCACTGGTTCACTCTGTGCCATGCACAGTACTACACATCAGGTTCTCAAAGATCTGTTGAGTAGAGGAAAAAGACATCTAAGATAATCTATATATATAAAAGCCCAGCGACCAGAACGGTCAATGAGGGGTGGCTATGACGTGCAGCAGTCAATCAGCCTGATCCGGGCTCCTGTCGGGCCCCCAACACCCTGGTGGGGGCTGGGCCAGATGGCCAACCGCCCTCGGCCCCTTCCCTGGCAAGCCCAGCCCCTGATCGGCCCCCTCACCCCATCTGGGGGTAGTCAGCCAACCGCCTGTGGCCTGTACTCATTCTACGCCTGCCGGCCAGGCCGGCCAGAGCCCCCCATGCACAAATTCATTCACTGGGCCTCTAGTTCATTAATAAAGACAGATGGGGGGTCCGGAGGGAAATAAACCTAGAAATAACTGGGAAGGGAAGGAGGAATCAAGGATGACTTCACAGATCAGAGGGATATGATGTGAGAGAGATTAGATAGGCCATTGCTGGCTTTGAAGATGGAATGAGGCCAACAGCAAAGGAATGCTGGCAGCGAAGAAATGCAAAGATGGAAAAGGCAGGGAAACATTCTATTCTAGTCTCTAGAAGGAACCGACCCTTCTAACTTTGATTTTATTCCCATAACAC